ATATATATAACTAGCTGCAAAGACCCACTTCGCTGGGTTTTTATTTGTTTGTACATTTGTATGTACTATAGTTTTTTTTATATATAAAAGACTGTTTTTCTAAGTAATGTAGAATCTAGCTGCAAGGACCCGCTTTGCTGGGATTTTATTTGTGGGCAAAAAGTAACGATAGTGAAGATTAAGATAATTACATTATAGCCAATCTTACCCGTTTTCGCAGAATGCAAGAATTAGGTCCCCCATTTCCAGACTAATTAGAGACCTGGTCCCAATTCTATTTCTGAATGTCTCCTGTTCACGTCCAGTCAAACGAACTATTTTCAACGTTTCTGGAACGTTTACAATCGTTCTATAATCGAACCAATAAGCAATAACAAATTCGAATTTAAAACGGTTTGAACATTTTTAAAACCGAAATAGAAAACCACTTTCAGCCCCATATCTCCCGCACCCTTATAGCTATCGAGACGCGACCACCATAGCGCACAAATGGAGACTTGGGGCTACTACCACATACAAACACCATTCACGTGCAATGTGTAGTTTTGGCTGAAAAGTGAAATATAGGGACACACGCGTCCATTTTTATATATATATAGATGAATACAAAGTCAGTAATTTTTTTTTCTCAATTTAAAATATTCTAGACTCAAACTCTTAAAAACTGCTAACTTTAATTTTTTTATGGACTTCATGTGTTCTTTATACATTTTTAAAAGTTTTTAGTTCAGTTACTTTAATTTAATTCTTTCTTTCTATTGCGTCACTTGACATCATATCATCAAAATAAGTGATGATATATTTTAAATTGCAAATTAATAATTAAAAATTAATGATAATTGAGCAATTCATTTTTGGACTTTTTAAGAAATGAATATTAATCCAAAAACATATTGATAAGGAGAACACCAATGGAATACTAAAATACAATAGTCTTGCCACAGATAAAATAACAATGAAGAAGGGAAAGAACAAGGTTGCTTACTTTCACCCTTCCTTTTTAATATCTACCTCCAAAGAAATAGTAGATAGGGCATTGGCTGATATAGATGGAATCAGTGTGAATGGATACACTTTGACTCATATTAAGTAGGCAGATGATATAGTTTTGATAACAAATACAAAAAATAATATAGAAATGTTAACAAGACTGAGTCTAGTAACAAAAGAATAAGATATTTTGATTAACATTGGAAAAACAAAAGTAATGATGTCTAGAAACAGAGAAACTTTAAAAGTACATTTAAAAGAGAAACCTATTGAACCTAATAAATTTAATTACCTGCGGACCCACATCACTCATGATCGTGTAATGTAGAAATGATAAAATACAGATCAGAAACAGCTTGGTCGTCATTTAACAAATTGAATAAAATATGGAATAACAGAACGCTTTCAAAAGAAATAAAAATCAAACTCTATAAGTTGTTTATTGTTCTAATTCTAACTTTGAAAATTTGGATTCTGAATAAACAAAGAGAGATTGGCTGCATTTGAGATGAAGTGTCTGAAAAATAAATGGAACCAAATGGATGGAACTAATAACTAATGAGAGAGTTAAAGAAGGCTTGAACTATAATGAATGGATCACTAGGAGAATAACCAGAAAATAACTACAGGTGTTTGTTAAAGCCAAAAACAGTACATTACAGAGTCCTCTGTGCAAGAATGGAAAGGAAGAGACCCAAGGGGAAACTGTGGAGAGGATGCATGGAATCATTCAGAGATGCCTCATAACTTGGGATCTAACAACAGCTAACTCCCCAGACTAGAGACTATGAGGTATGGAAGAGAAGATTGAGATTATGGAGAACTCAACCTCTCATTGATGGATGAGTTTGAAGAAGAGAAAAGAAATATTCATCATTGGCAGATAAAGCAATCATAATCATGTTATTATTCACAACTACATGTATGTGTAGAAGGCATTTTAACTGTAGATAAATCTGAATAATAGACTTAACACTAATTCAGATTGACACTTTTATCTCATTTCAGTAGTATCAAATTCTGATAAACTATGTAAACTTAATGATTACAGCATTAATTTGTGTCATTCATAAATAGGGTTACTGTACATCCAGGTTTGGTCTAGATCAGTGTTTCTCAACCTCTAACAAATCATCGCCCCCTTCAATATAGTATCGCCCCCTTCACTTCAAAATTCCAATGCCAACGGCCAAGACTAATGCCAAATTCATACTGCATTGAATAGACTAGTGACTAGTATAATGTTATTTGTTTAATTATTGTATGATATAACGAATAAAATATCTAATTATTGTTAATATAATGTTTTACTATATCGCCCAGAAAATTGTTTTCACTCCCCAAAATATAAATTGTTTCTAATCTCCCCTTCAACATGGAAAAGCACCCACTTGGGGGTGATATCGCTCCCGTTGAGAAACACTGGTCTAGATAGTCCTGGAATCATGGCAATACAAGATTACATCTGGAATTGAAAATAATCTGTGATTTTTTTTTGTGGGTAGAAACAAAAAAATTTATTGTACAGGTATCCCTTGCTTAATACGGGATATGATTAACATGTGAAATTAATTGTGGTAACCCCTTTATATATGCAGTAGAAATTTTAATTAACATGGCTTTACCAGTTGTCTTTACTTAACATAGATACTGTATTTGATTAATGCAATTTTGATATATGCCATAGCATCAAGGGATTAATTAACTGCATTAACAAGGGGTACCTGTATTTTTGAACAAAAATCCCATACAGATGTGATTTTGCCAAAAAAATGCTGAAAAAAGCCACCTTGTGTTTTATACTTGAAGTTTTGATCTCTGTAGGCTAATGAATTCCCCAATCTTCAATAGACTATATATAATTTTTATGTAGTCCAGTTGTAGAATAAAAATTTTATTGTTTAATTAAATATATAATAATAATATAATAAATAATAATTATATTATAATATTAATTAATATTTAAGATTATATATTATTATTACAGTTGTATATATTTAGTTTTTGTTGTAGCTAAGCTGATTTTACATGTTTTCATATAGAACATTTTAATGTTAAATGATTTCGTTTAAACTTTTGTTTTTCCCTGAAAAATAAGTGTTCATTCTAATTTTACATTTTTTTTTAAACTAGAATACTGTAAAAAATTGGTGCTGCATACCAAAAGTGTTGAATGGCTTAAATACATTAAATACTTTTTTTATAAATATTTTGTGCTGAAATAAAGGTGACATTTACATGCCATAAAATGTAGTATTTATAGTTGCAATGAAAATTTTATTACTCAATTGTTTGTCACAAGGATTCAATATAAATAAAGTAACATACACTGTTAATTACAAGTAGAATTTTATAATATTTAAAAATGTGTTCATAAATTGACTTTTAAGCAGTTTAGTATAGTTTTCTTTTAGTTTGTCAAAGTTACTCTTCTTAATAGTAACAGAGGCACTGAAAAAAATGCTATTAGTCAAGTTTGATATGTGTTAGCAGGTACTGTACATTAGAAATAATGTTCTTCATTATGAACAATATTCTTTCACCTGAAAAGTGTTTGCTATGAGTGCCAGTAGTAAAATGTTGATTAAATGTGAAAGTGATTTTAAATATTCTTGTAGTAACTATGTAAAATCTAATTGTTTGTAAGGATAGTATTATCTAGTGAAAAATACAATGCAATAGGTCTAAAACAAGAACTGTCATACTGGTCATTTACATAATATGCCTGAAATTTTAATTTTTCTTTAATGTGTAGATTAAATGTATTGCTTTCTGCAATTTGTATTTTGGAATTTTATTTTATAACCTTTTCAGCATACACTTTCTATAGGAAACCTTGAATTATAAGAAAGGATTAAATCATACTATATATATTCAAATTTTATTTTAAAAATATATATTTAAAATTTTATTTTAAAAATATATACTAAATTTTATTTTCTAACGTGGATTTTTTTAAATCCATAATTAGGGTAAATATCTAGGAATGACTCCAAAATTATATTAACCCTACTCATACATATTAATTAAGATTATTGTTGTTACTTACGTAAGATTAAGTTTCTCATTTGCGTATAAAAAACTATTTCTGTTTTTCTGGTGTTTAGCAGAATTTATATTCATTTTAATTTGATTTTACTTATTATAAACTTTAATTTTATTTATTAAATATATTGATATTATTTAGAAAGCACTGCTATTAATGATAATCCCTATGGATAAGTAACAACATTGTGAGCATTTGTCATTGTTGTTATTTTAGTATTTAACTACAAAATAATTTTTAATCATAATTTACTTAAATTAACTAATTTTTGAAACTGTTTGACAATACTGTATTATTTAATTATTTTTAGTTTATGGGTGTTTACAGGTATATGAAATTTCCATTTTAAATTAATGAAAGGGATACATGGATTAGAAAAGTTGGAATCATTGGCTTATAGATTAGGTTATTCTAGATTTGCATGTGTGCACTGTATAAGTCATATAATAGTGCTGCATCACCATATATTTGCGGTAATAAGCTGTGAATCTTGATGATATTTTTAGCCAGTTTTAAGCAAATTTAGTGTTTCACCGTTAATCTATTATTATGGCTCAACTATTTGTAAATTGTCATCAGGTATTTTTGTAACAAAATACCTGGTGACAATTTACAAATAAAAAGAAAGATTCTAGCTATCTGTTAGTATAGGAATAAACTTATCAAAATTTGCACAGGGATAAGAAGTGCATTTATTGATATTTTACTCTCATTAAACAATGAGTTATCTGATGGCATTTTAAATAAAATCTGTCTTATAACTCTAAAGAAATAAGTTCTATGTTATAACATTTTTCTTTTTTAACCATTTCCTGTGAAACAATATAATAAAGCATAAAGTATTGAAAAACTTTAAAAAGGCTATAGTATGTTTTCATAAAATCTATATTTGAATATTTAAAACTAAAACTGCTTTAGAATTTAAGAATTCTAGATAAGTAAATAAAAATTAAATGGGTCGGACCCGTCCGAGTAACAGACCGTACGGTCTTACCACATTCCTGGCATTAATCGACGCATTTTTATTTAGGACCCGTTATTCTATTGCACGGAACGGTGGTAAAAATACATTTCGACGTTTCACCCCTCATCCGAGTGGCCACCCAAAATTTCCCTTTCGTCGACAAAAAACTCGTTAGTTTTTATCCAGAAACGTATCGGTAGATCGATCGACGATAACGAAAACAAATAATTGTACAATCGGAGACGGACGAACTTCGAACCGATTAACAGTCACGAGACGATGAGTAATGTCTCTCCCCGTTGTATTAAGCGAAGGAGGAAGTTTCAGACTCAAAGCGTCTAACGTCATCCGACCGTCAGGATATACTTTATAGAATCGACGTGGAATGAGTGGCGATTATAAATAAAATTGAGTAATTAAAGTGAAAGAAAAAAAGATGGGTTGGACTCCTTACCAGCGGTTTCTGGCGGTGATGATGGTCATCACTGGTTCCATTAACACTCTAGCTACAAAGTAAGATATTCCTCGTACTCCTTACAAACAAATCCGATGTTTTATTTAGAAAATTATCCAAACCTGCCTAGTAATATAAGTATTAACGGTAATTGTGTCCGTTGTAAATAAAATAAGAGACAAAACGTTGGGGTATGACTTATAAACAGTCACCAGACGCGTAATGCTTAAATGCATTTTAGACACCAATTATCGGTTTTATGTATTTTGCTATAGCACCTAACATTATTTGAAAAAGTATTAAAAAATACTTGATATCTGACACTTATAATAAGCTAATACTTAGTTTATTTAACTAATTTGATTTATTGATATAAAGATATAATAATGTTAATGATAATATTTATCTCTATCTTCTAATACTGTTATATGCTGGATGTGTTTTTCTTGTAGTCTAATTATCCAGTTGATAGAAAATATATTGATGATACCGTTATCTTTGCCGGTTGGGAAGTTTTATTTATTTCTGCCAAGAAAATACTGAATATAGTTTGAGTAAAAGAAAAAGGCTTTGCATTTATATTCTTACTTTATTTAAAATGACATTAAATGAAAGTTCTTATATTAAATTTAACTATTTTTAAGGTCTTGTTATTTCTGTTTTTATGGAGCCGGAATTTTACTAATGAATAATTATAATTATAAATTGTTTTTTATATCAGGACTGCTTTGCAATACATGCATATTATTACAGTAATTGATAAATTACTAAAGACTAAATTGCTTTAAATTGTACTGTCATGAAATTTTTGAGCTCATTTCCTGTAAAAATAAATTCAGCAGTATAACCTATTGAAGTTCACTAAAACTTTTGTGTGTTGCTGATTGTAATAAATTACTGTACTGTACAACCATCTTCTCTAGCACATCATTAAAGAAAACATCTCACTAACTAGGACTTTCTTAAACTCAGACAACCATTACCCCCTATTAGTCTGAGTTAGCAGGGGGTTTACTGAACTGCATTTTCATGTGTATAAGTCATGATGGAGTATATCCTGGCATAGAACAAAAATAAAAAAGACCTTTGCATAACCCACACCTATAGAATTGCTAAATCAGCACCTCTTTCAAACTGTCTTTAAAATACAAATAAATCATGGGTAATCCAAATGAAAATGTGGTAGGTCTAATAGATTTTAATTTATAAACAAAAATTTTTTTTATTCATCTTCTCCAACTGCTTAAATATTATATTAGATAAACTTTTATTTCAGATAAATTTGAATTAACTTCTAATATTCCAATATTACATTTTTAGTGGTAATAGGACGATCAATCGGAATCGAGAAAATCTCGTCATGATTTCCGATTCTTCCAGATTTTATAAGATAATTAATTATTTGTTTTATTCAGTGATTAAAAAATTATTAAAATTACGATATTAACAATTAAATATTAGTTTATTGGAAACTTTCGTATATAACCAATACGTACTGGAAGTAGAATAAGTTGAAAAATAAACTACACCGATATAAATCCAGCAAAATTTAATAAAATAAAAACGTTTATGTTCTATATTTAATGTTCTATTTTTGGTAACTGAAGATGATTGTTGAAAAACGATTGAAAACGTTTTTATTTTATTAAATTTTGCTGGATTTATATCGGTACTACAAAGCAGCGTTTGTAACGTCCCCCATATGCAAAGTAACGTCTTTCACGGTGGACTCTAACTATATGGTCACTAGTGACCATATAAATCTAGTAATGTTTCCATTTTAGGAAAGATACTGTGACTTTAGGGTTGCCATCCAGCCGGCTTGATTGGCAATCTGTAACTATATGTACAGGGTGTAACAGAAAGGTGTGTAAAAAATTTGATGAGTTGTAGAGGGGTTAAATTGTCTGGTAAAAGCCCCAAAAAAATTTCCTTAAAATCCCACTAAAGAGAGCATCTCTCTTTAAGAACATGTGGAATCCATATATCGAGCTTTGAAACAAAACCAGTTTGTTTCAAGTAACCATAAACGGTTCAATTTGACAAATTTAATCTCTTAGTGATTTCACGTGTTGTTATTTGGCAGTTTGCTTCAATCAGTACATTTATTTTGTTTTCATTGGCGTCAATTGGCCATCCAGAACGTGTGCATCTTCAATATTGAAATTGCCAGAACGAAATTTTGTAAACCAGTTTTGGCACTGTTGTTCTGTCAATACATTTTCTCTGTACACGTCACACAATTTTTTCCTCACTTGAACAGCATTCTTACCTTTTCGGTAATAAAAGAGCAACATATGCCAAAAATGCTGCTTTCGATTTTCCATATTTGATGGGACACAAAAAATAAACAATTGCACAAAATCAAACAAATTTTTTTACAAATAAGCCTTAAAATGCTAGCTGTCAAAATATATAATGATAATACGGTTTAGAATATGAAAATAGCAGGAAAAATACAACTAAATTTAGTGGTAAAAAAACGAAATTGCTTTCCGAACAACCTAGTAGTATAGCTGTGCAGTTAATGGATATAAGTAACACTGAAGCATGTTAAGTGTTTTGCATCAGAAAAGTGCATGCAACATGTAATGGGGATTCATCCATTGAACCAGAGAAAAATTCATCAGTTGGAATTCCATAACCATTACGATTGTTTCTTGTTTTAAATCACATAAAAATTTGGAGTTTGTAAACTTTTAAAATTTGCGAACTCCAAGCTATTTATTTATGTCAATATTACTGGGCTGCATTTGAAAAAATTGTAGACCTATAAATTCCCACTGTCATTTGTTCATCTTTCCTTAACAGTTGAAAACTGGCCCTGTGTAGGTTTATAGCATGAATAAAATTCTGAAGTTTGATTGGATTAAGCAGTATGCATTATATATTTTAGACAATAAATTTTATATATTCTACTAGAATAGAACAGAGCAAATAAGATGTATAATATATGTTTAAATAATAATATTTTATTTTCTAGATGGGCAGATACAAGTTCCTCAAAGGGAGTTGATGGAACAGTTAGAAAATTTGATCATCCATTTTTACAGGCAAGTCTCTCTTGAGTGCTTTGATGAATTTTATGTAAACTGATTTCATAAGTAATTTTTAATTTTTTCAGTGGAAACTCTAATCTTATAAATTCTAATAAACTTTTATATATCAGTAAATTTAAATTATAATAAAAATATTATTTTGTAGTAAAAATTAATCTTTTTATAGCAACTGTTACTATTATTAGATGAGAATAAGTTGTATATAATTCAAAATATATTTTTAAAGCAATTTATTCAAAATATGAAAAATTTTGCATTAAAGTATATAGTTAATTAACATTATAATAGAGAATGTTTTGTTTAATAGTTTTGCTTGTATAAAGTGATTCTAATTTAAATGATATTTTTCTATTTTCAATTTGTTCATTTCAGAAGCAATTTTAAATGAGTAAATAATGAATATAATACTATAATATCTAATGTAACTTTTTGAAACTGTTATATGATTCAAAATGATAATCAGAATTGTAAAATATATCTTTTTCATTAATTTAAAAACATTTAATTAATAATTACTTTTTCAACTTTGAAGTTCTAGGAACAAGACATTTTATCCATTATAAACTTATTTAATCTTATTCATGAAATATTTAATTAAATTTGACAAAATTTCACAAAAATTTAAAACATCACTGCTACAGTGTATACTAATGCAACACATGATATTATTTCTTTTGTCTTTTCTGCCCATGTCACAGCCATTTAGCAGAGTGTTTATTTTTTATTTTTAAACATGTTTGGCATTAAATTATTTATGTTCTATGTCCATTAGTATTTGTAAATATTCCATTTGTCAAACATTAACCCGAAGATCATTAAAGATCTTCATCATGTTAATGTTTGACAAAAATAATGAAAAATGTTTGTTTTTCGGTTGAACTTTTTTCCGCTATTCAAGATTGTATGTGATTAAGTTTCACAAATTCTAATTGATAGTGTAATTTGTACTTTTTGTAAAATAAAAAATGTTTATGCTTCATTTTATTTCTTTAGAAATGTGAATAAATTTTATTAGAAATAATCTGTAAGAAATAAATATTATTTAATAATGTTGCTAATTTTTTCCGTACTTCTAATGTTAATATTGATACAATAGAATACAGATTATCTGTGGAAATGTGGACTGATGCTACCTTGGATGATTGAAAACTTGGATAAAACAGATGGCCATGGCCATGTTGGATTTAAAATTATGAATATAAAAGATTTTTATGGTATCACTTTTAAGCCTTTTTTTATACCTCAGTGAATTTAATTGTATACAAGGACATTTTTTTACATCATTTAGTTTAGATTACAGTTAATATATATAATAGTTTTATGAATAAAACTGTGTATTATTGTAATTATATTTTAATATGATTGGTTTGTCTCATCATTCATTCATTCATGGGTGTTCTGTCCTAGGACAGATTCATGGAAAGCAGTCAAATTATAGAATTCTCCTTCTCCAACATTCTCTATTTCAGGCTTCCTCTTTTATTTCTTTATAAGTTTTACCTAGTAAAACATCATCTATCAATACTTTTCTTTTACTTCCTCTGTTTCCTTGCATCAATTTTTCCTTCTAATGCCACTCGCATTAATCCTTCTCCTCGCAATATATGACCTAGCCAGTTATTTTTTCTTCTTTCTATTGTTTTTAAAAGAGATTGCTGTTCCTGGACCAAATTTAAAACATCTTCATTCTTAACCTTTTCTGTCCACTTGATTTTCTCCATTCTTCGCCATAACCACATTTCATATGCTTCAAGGTAGTTTGTTTCCTTTTTCTTTAAGGTCCAAGTCTCTGCTCCATATAAAGTTATGCTCCAGGAAAAGCATTTTATTAACTTCTTTTTAAGTGTTTGGTTCATTTTTCCAATAAGAAGGTTCTTCTTCTTATAAAAAGCCATTTTTCCAGCCCTGATTCGTTCTTTGATTTCTTTTTCACATCTGCCATCTCCCTGAATAATGCTGCCAAGATACCTAAAATGTTGAACTTGCTCTATTTTGTTTCTGTCAATTAGGATTTTCAAATCTTTGCTAATTAGCCTTCCAACTTTCATCACTTTTGTTTTAGCTGTGTTAATTTTCATTCCAAATTTTTCGCAAGTTTTGTTGAGTTTTGTTACCAAACATTGTAGAGTTTGTTCATTTGGTGCAAGTAAAGCAATATCATCTGCAAACCTAATACTTTGTATTAATTGGCCTCCAATTTTAATTCCGAGACTGTCCTCACTTATGGCTTCATTCATTAATTCCTCAAGATAAATGTTAAAAAGAGTAGGTGAAAGTGTACACCCTTGCCTGACTCCTTTTCCAATACTGCATGGTTGCTTTCTCCAGTTTTTGTTTGGATAATGGCAGATTGATTCATATAAAGTGAAGCAATGAGTCTTCTATCTCTCCAATCTGTAGGTAATCCGCACATTACCTACTAGGCACTCGGTAAAGTGAAAATAAGATCTTTGCCACAAATAAATGTACCACAAATAGGTGTGCTTGTCGCAAAAACCAATTGTTATGAAATTCAAAGTGTCACCAATCTTTAGACTGCACTAGTAAGTAAGCACAATTGGATAATGTTACCTATGGTGAGTAAAATGGCGGCTCGTCTCTGATTCCAGCAAAGAGAAGAAAGGAAACAGTGGGGATGCACATTCAAACCTAACCTAACCTATTCTAATAATTTGGTTGGTAATAATTATGGTAATTTATTAGACTAGGTTAGATTAGGTTAGAACGTGTGTCCCCACTGTTTCCTTTCTTCTATTTGCTGGAATCAGAGACGAGCCACCATTTACTCACCATAGGTAACATTAACTGCACAATTATATCATGCGATCACCAGAAAAAGTGTGATAACTTTATTATTTTTCGTCTCCGGTCCAAAAGTAGGGTATCGTCGAAGTCGTCTCAGTCTCCTCAGTTCAGATAGATACCCAAAGTTCCGAAATTCCATAGTTGGTTATCTATATAATAATTTCCCTAATTGTATTAATATTTTAAACCGTTTGATTTTTTGTATGTTTTTTAATTGGTTGATGATTGATTCTATCAACTAATTTGTTGATAGTTTCATTATATTAACTTGATTCTTTAGATCTCGAAAATTAAATAAAGAACAATATGTTAAGAACCTAACCACAAAATTACCAATATACCAGCAAAATTCAATTTAAAAACGAACGTTTTCTACCGTCTTCACCGGTCATCTTCAGGTTCGATTCCAAGATTTCAAAAAAATCGAACATTGCAATTATGCGCATGTCCGATGCAGGGCCTTAATAAAACTATTCGTGGAATTGGTTTCCTGCCTCAAAAATCCGATGTTTATATTATAGTGTAGACATATATGGTGCACATCCATTATACGTCATAATAGTGTAGACATATATGGTGCGCATCCATTATATGTCATAATACGCCCTCCACGCCGTCGCCAAAGAGTCTGTTTCCTTGAAATTGATGGCTGTTCCCTTTCTGAACGCTTTAAAAATTTCCAGCTGTTCTAGATATTTCAGGCTGGCCTGGTGTTCACACCGTTGTATTAAATGTGCATTATCAAATTCCACCGTGACGTCGTCATCAAGCGCGAAAGCGGCCAAAGCTGTATTGGAAAGGCGTTTTTAAATTGAGTACTTGTGTTTCTTGACCCTTGTTTTAAGGCAGCATGCGGTAGCACCAATATATTCGCCAGGACGATTCACCCTATGATCGTAAATAGGGATAGAATATATTCCCGGAACACAGTTCCTATCAAGACGGTCCTTATCATTTCGTAAACAAGAGAAAATGGTCTACGATCTTCTGTAAGCGATATTTTTACCAGCATACCAAGCGATTTGTTTGTAGGTGCTATGAAGGATCCTGTTGTAAGTAATAGGAACGAAGGGCTGGTTATTCTGAAGTGCCGTACTCCTAGGTTGTTGGTGGCGTGCTATAAGTGTTTTAATTAGGCACGTAGGGTAACCATGTAGTCTAGCCACATTCGAAATAGATTCCAATTCCATTTTTCTATCTTCCGCGCTTGAACAATGGGTGAAAGCTCTTCTTACTAGGGTCTTAAAAGCGGAGATCTTGTAACCAACCGGATCATGTGATTGAGCATGTATAAAAAGAGGCGCATACGAGCTCTTACGGTATACTTTAGTTGTTATTCGACCCTGTTGCAAGCTAATGTCAATATCAAGAAAATGCACGTTGGTGGAGCTCTGCTGTTCAGCCCTCAACGAGAGGCCATAAGCGTTACTATTGAAAGTTTCAGTGAATGCCGCCAAGTCCGGTTTTCTCTTCCAAACAATGAATACGTCATCCACGTATCTAGCGTATAATATAATGTCATCGTTAAAGTCAGGTAAGACTTGTTGTTCGAGGCGCCTGACCACCAATTCACATAATGTTCCTGATATGGGGCTACCCATAGGCACCCCTCTAGACTGCAGGAAAGTATCTCCCTCAAATACGAAAAAAGATGAGTGACATACGAGATGTGCCAACTCTAAGATGTCAGATAGATGTTCAGAAGAGTCGTTGATATTTCGAATGAGAAAATCCCTTAACTCACAAAAACATGGCTCGATGCGGATGGATGGGAACATGGATTCAAAATCACAAACAGTGAAATATACGCCATCTAAGCTGTCAAGTGCATTCAATCTGTGAATCAACTGTACCGGATTGGACACAGTACACGGATATTCCTCGATGGTGCTGGTTACAAAGGAGTTAAGCATGCGTTCTATAAGTATAGTCGGAGATCTCGACTTGTCGACGACCGGACGTAGTTGTTTACCGTCTTTATGGAGTTTGGCGAAAGCAAATAAGCGTGGTGCAATGGGTGTCGAAATAGTTGCCTTAGTTATCTTTAGTACTCTAGCCAATGGTGAGTTGGTCATACGTGCAACCCTTGCTTGAGTCCTTTCCAAAAATCCGCTGGGGGCCTTAGTGCATTCAGTGTTGCTGATGTATTCATGCAAGCCGTTTCTATACGTATCCCTTTTCATAAGAACAATGCTCCTGGATTTATCCGCCCTTACAGCGACCACATCATTACGACTCATCCATCGTCTAGAATTACGTATGGCACTCGCATATGATCGTTCATCGTGTGCCTTGTGGTTATAGATATCGAAGAAAACCTTCCATCGAAAGTATTCTTTACGCGTGTTGCCAAGACCTTCCACCATCCTCTCAACATCCGGTATAACCTTAGTTAAGTCCACTGGAAGGGAAGGAGCAAACGCAGGGCCCCATCCTACTACGTTAACCAGCATGGGCGGAGGTTGAATGCCATCCCAACATACAAGAGAACCCTGTATTCAGTTTTCCTTCGGATGCTGGAATGTCGACAGCCATTCTATTTTCTTACGATGCTGTTTGCGGAGTCTCCTAGAAATAGAGTCTGCTAACGGGACGACACTTGCATTAACTGGTCAGGATGTCGGGATTCCTCTCATAAAAATAATTTTCCAATCGGATAACGTTACCCACTAATGCATACCTTCTTCTCCTAGCATATCTTATTACTTTTTTTAAACAGCATATCTTATCGCTTTTTTTAAACAGAAATAGAACAATTTTAGCAACTTTAACAGATCACCCTAGTTAATGTGCAGATTAGCTAGGTAATGTACACATTAACGACTTTCAAGCTTTAGTGGTAACATATACATTATAAACATTATCATCTTGAACAAGAAGTAATTTATTTGGTAATCTTTTAGAAAAATGTGTATAAAAGACCAAAAAGTGCATGGATCAGATGAAAAGGACTCTTTAACTTTATTAAAATTTTTTTGGAAAGAAGTATGGTATTCATAGTAATACTGTTTTTGGATGATATGATGTAAGTGAAGATTGTAGGAATTACCAGATTTTTCTTATTTGTTCCAGTGTTTTCAAAGTAAATTATGTAGGCTAGTTTTTATAGATGATAAGTAAACAATTTGTGTTGAAATATCCATTTTATAGAATTGCAAAAAATTATGTATAGTAGATAAAAAAAAATGTAAGTAATGTCAGACTTTGCATAAATACTGATATGGTTAGAATAAAGGTAAGACGAATTTACAGAACAGAGGTGGGTGGCAACTTTTCTCCGGTTAATTTAGGACCATAAAGTTAGATTAAGAAAATGCTTCATTTTACCAGAATTTAAATAGGGAGAAACTTCAAGGCAAATGTGGTTAGACAGAAAACCGTCAATTAGGCGGTAGCATGGGAGTTACTACCAAAAACCTGGTTGAGATAGGAATTCCCTCTTGATGGAAAAGAAACTATCTAGGTTAAATTAAAAAAAATAAAAAATTTCATTTAAAAAATTAACTTTTGTAGTGTCCAAAATGCTATAAGATGGGCCTGAGAAATTTCAGTAAACATTAGTTAAAAATTAAATTCTTTGCACATTACAAATTTAAACCTGAAGGAATAATAAAAGAAAATAAGAAATGGCAAAAAAAATAAATTACAGCATCATTTGTATATCATAACAGAAACTTTCATAATTATAATGAGAAAGTTGTTTTATCATTATAAATAAACATACTAAATATTAAAAATAGTTTTATACTTAATTTTAAAAATAATTTTTATATAATTTTGTTTATAATTTCAACTGTTTTGCTGACACTTAAATATTTTTGCAGACTGCCCATCATGATTAACTAGATAGCCCAATAGTTCAGTCAATGTTAACTTGCTTATAATTAAAATTAAAAAAAAATTTTAAATAATGAAATTAATGAAATTTTAATGAAATTACTCGAAAAATTAAAATAAATTTAAATTTGATTATTTTTTGCGTGAAACAACACAAACAATTTCTATAATTATGTCGCAAAAGAAAAAGACTTGCAATTAGTTTAAAAAATTGTAATTAAAGGTTTAAAAATGCAGGCAAAGTAATGCAGAATTAAATACATAAAAATTATTAAAAATTAAATTAAATTAAAACTAAAAATAATAATTAAATTTAAAAGTAATAAAATAATACAGTAATGGACAATTCTTTATTGTGACATCGTCACAATGCCAAGGTGCAATTTTTAATCATATTTTAATTTATTTAATTTAAAATTTATGCTCTCCATTTCAAATTAGGCTTGCCTCTGTACATCATACTTTTCTTAAGTCATGTTATTTCAATTCAAAAATTTCTCCCTGAAAGGTGAAAAGATTTGAATTGAAATAGCATGTACTTCCAGTTTGCATCAGAAGTTCATATATAGTTAATCAGTATTTCCTGCCCCTAAGGTTTCCATATCTGGTCTCGTCTGTCATCTATCAAACTCTGTTCTGGACATTAAGGAAAGACGGATGATTGACGACATTGGGAATTTATATATCTACAATTTTTTCAAATTGTAGTTCAATTGAAACTCTGGTCTTTATACTGAAACCAAAATTAATTAAAATCAAATCAATTCAAAATTAAAACAATGTTTTTAAAAATTATTTAAAACTTGTTTTGAAAGTTTCAAATTGTGAAATTAATTTTTAAATTTGCATTATTTGAGTGTGGTGGTGATGGAACATTTTGTCTTTTAATATACAGTATATACAGAATACAGATTGCCAGTCAAGCCGACCCAATGCATGCTAGATGGCAATTTTAATGTCACCCTCTCTTCCCTAAAATGACATTTTCTGTTTAAAGATAGCACTGTATATAATTATAATGCTATATGATAAATTTGAATCATACTTATCTATTATAACTGAAAGGTCAAATGCAATAGTAATCTAACTTTTTTTTAAAGTTGAGATATTATTCTGTAAAAGTGGTATAAACTAGTTTTTATATTTCTGTTATATTGTTTTGTTACCATCATGACAAATGGAACCCTAGTAATCTTTCATTGTATTTAGAGACAATATATTAATACATGAAAGTATGGCACTGTTAACTCAACTTCAGTAAAGGAAAAAATTAGATTACTGTTGTGCTTTCACTGTTGCTTTATTTTAAATTTTTGTTACTTTTAAATCAGTCAGTTGTTATGTTTAGGTATTTAATACTTTAATTTATTTTTTAGGCTGTTGGTATGTTTCTGGGAGAATTTACTTGTCTTCTAACATTTAAATTAATTTTCTGCTTTTATCAAAGAAAACAAAAACCAGAAGAAGAATATCCTGTTACAATAAGTGGAAATCAAAAATTTAATCCATTCATCTTTCTTTTACCTGCATTATGCGATATGACTGGTACATCCATAATGTATATTGGTTTGAATCTTACTTATGCCTCAAGTTTTCAAATGCTTCGGGGTATGTATGTCATTGTTGTTAATATTATTTAAATGTTAGTTAAATTATTCTTATACCATTTAATTTATATAACATAAGTTCTAGATCTATTTTCTAGTTCTAGTTTTCAAAATTATGATATTCTGTATTTAACTTATATACGGTATTAATAAAAGTTAGTATAAAATTATTTTGTTTTTCAATTTTTATTCCTTCAAAGCTTCCAGAGCTTATAGTATTTTTTACATTAAATTTCAGTATACAAAAAACATGTAACGAACCTAAGAAGTTTGTTAAATTGTTAAAAATAACTTTTTCTTTATCTGTCTGATAAAAATCATTATTTTTGGAAATGATCAGAAGTCTGTTAGTGCCAGGTCTGGATCGTAAGGAGGGTGTGGAATAATACGTGACTTAGGTTCTTTACTCACTCCTCACTGTTTTTACTGCAATATGGTCTTAAATTAACATGGTGTATGAAAAAAGTGTGGTTCTTTCAAACCTTACTCTGAAAATATATCTGAATGCTTGTAAGGTTTCCCAATACTTTACCAAATTTTTGTTTCTTCTTTTTCATATACTCCATGTAAACAATGACATTCTATATCAATAATCATCAGCATGATCTTTGAGCAGAGGAAATAGTTTTTAACTTCTTAACAAGTGGAGAATAAAATCATATCTAGAATTCTGTCTAGAAATATTAGAGATTTAAAATTTAGAAGAGAATTTCTTTTAAGTATATTTATTTAAAAAAGAATTCAACTGCTGCATAAAGTGAATAACAGATACAGTACTTGCAAAGTTTTTATTATTTGCATGTTCTGCACATTGTGTTCAAAATACAACTAATAAGTATTCCCAAGATGAACTACATGGCCAAAGCAATTGAGGCATCAGCATACTTGCTCTGGAGAACCAGAATTGATTCTGGATGATTAAAAAATCCTAGGAATTTATCAGAGTTTGGTTTGTCTTGGTTGTGTCATACTCTGCCTCTCACCACAATGAACACCCGTTGTGGTGAGAGTATATATATGGTGATTGAAAAGTTACACTCTCAGAATAAAACATTAAGTTTTAAAAGCATCATTGATAACGGAAACATGAAAACAATATTATTAATAGAACAAAATGTATTAAACAAAATAGCAACAAATTGAACCTTAAAAGAAATTCAAGGATAATTAATATCAAATTTATTAATCAATTGCAATCTCTAATGTTTTCGATCCACTTAGGAGATCTTCCTCAGGATTCTTTAAATAGGAATGTGTAAATTGGAATGTTCTTAAAAATTATTTTAAAATGTATAAATGAGAATTTTTCAACTTTAAAATTTAAAATAATATTTTGAATCAATTAAATCAAATTTTAATTTCTCCAAGATAATTTTAATTTGGCTGCTCCCTTAGGTATAATGATTGCCATGCATAAAATACTTGTCCTTCCTCTTTGAAATTAATGCAACGACCGATCTTTATGGATTTAAATATTTCGAAAGTTTTCAGTGTCCTTATTTGGTCATCATGCGTAGATCATCTTATGATGGAAGCTTGGTCTAGATGGACTTGGATGTCATTGTCTGCAGCATACCTGGCTAGGGTGGTGTTGTATTTTCCTTTATTGATATCATACTTGCGTTCAGCCAGCCTTATTTTGAGAGATTGTGTGGTGGCGCCGAAGTATTCAAGATCAAGCTGGAATCTATTGTCTCTCAGCATAATCTTATAAATGCCAGGAACCCTAAACATGTCAGTGTTGTCTTTACTGTTTCTAAGTATGTTATAGACAGTTGGCTCATGCCTATATACTAATCCATCACAGAGGTGATGGGCAATTTCTTTATATAAGCTTTTCATGTTGTGGTTATAATTCAGAACTATGTGGTGCGTCTTGTGAGTGTTCCCACTTTGTGATACAAGGTTATTGGGTGTAGGAGTACCTCTGTTGGAATAGGCGTTCGCTAATTCACAAATAAGGTGCTTTTTGTAACCATGCATTTTAGCTATGTCCTTGAGACATTTAATCTCTTTTAACGTGTCCTCTTAATTTGTGCAGTGGGTAAAAGCACATTTGGTTAAGGCATGAAAGGCAGCTATTTTGTAGATACATGGGGCATATGAGTTTGCTGGTACAGTGGTACCTCAGGATACAAATGCCCCAGCATACGAAATTTTCAGGATACGACATGAAATTTGAACATATTTTTGCTCCATGATACGAACAAAAACTCACCATACAACGTTACATTAGTTTGCAGTGCCATTTTTTATTCACTTCTGTTCATCGGTCTCAGTCCACGCGTTTGCTTCGTCGTGGAAGGATCTCGCTCAATAAAGGAAATCTCGCGATATTATCAGAAAGTGACTGATTTTATTGAAAAGAAACATCCCAAAAAAGGTTCACACTGGCCATATTGTCGCTCGGAGTAATGATATTTGCCTAAGTCATTTTAGAAACAGTTTAAAAAGTAGGCAAATCCAAACCTCTTTGGATAGATATTTTACCAAGCGACCTCTATCCAGTGAAAGTGCTGGTAGAAGTGAAGGAAAGAAAGCAAAAAAGCAGTGAATAAAAAATATAAAAAGAAAATGAAACAGAAAAGATTAAAAAATTAGTGTTAAGTTATTTTTAAGTTATTGTTACATTATGTTATGTAAGTTAAGTTTTAGTGTCATTTCCCTTCTCCCTGTCTTACGCTACCAATTTACACCTCCACCGTTGTCTATCCTCAGAGGTAAAGTGCAAATAAAACTACATTTTTTTTTTAATCAATTATTATTCTATTATGGTTATTTATACATTTACAACTACAAAACACATTTTTCAGTGTTTTCCTTACTATAGTTATTATTTTTTTTAATGTACAACTTAGCTTTAATTTGAGTGTTTTCCATGTTGGAATGGATTATTTGGTTTTACGTGTAATTGTATGGGGAAAAATGATTCACCTTACAACATTTTCATGATACGATCTCAGTTTCGGAATGGATTAATTTCATATTCTGAGGTACCACTGTATAAACAATGGAATGTGAGATGGTTTATGATAAATATTGGTATGGATAACTCTGTTTATAATACTGATATTGAGATTTAAAAAGTGTGCCCTTGAATTGCTGGCTTGGTCTAATTTTATGGAAAGCCCATATGGATTGTTATTCATATGTTTTATGAAACTTTCTATATTTGGTTTTTCTTTCCACAATATAAAAATATCGTTGACGTACCTTCTGTATATGATAATACTGGAAAAGAAAGAAAGTAGGACTGTTTTTTCTAATAACCTAATAACCATTTCACAAAGATCCTCCGATAAGGGACTGTCCATCTATATACCTTTTTTTTTGTAAGTAAGTTTTGTAATCATATTGAAAAAAGGAGGAATAACATAACATATGCTCTAGTTCTAAAATATGTTTGTGGTGCATAGATTCATTGTTTATACTTAACAAAAAATCTCTAAAGTGTCCAAAAACATGATTGTAAGTGTATTGATGGATATAAAATCTAATGTTGTTATATACATTATATACACACACTGCATCACTTGGTGCTGCCGCAATTCATTGATAAGCTGCTCAGGGTTACTAATGGAGAAGCTGTATGCTTTTAAGTGTTTTTTGAGCAAATCACATATACGTTGTTCTAATAGCCTAGTAGGTGATTTAGCCTTATCGAAAAATTATTTAAAAACATACATTTATGTTTTTAAATAATTTTTAAGAACTTATGCATTCCTATTTAAAGAATCCTGAGGAAGATCTCCTAAGTAGATCGAAAATATTCTAACATTTTCAATCTGCAATTGCATTTGATTTGCAATTGATTAACAAATTTGCAATTAATTATCCTGGAATTTCTTTTAAGGTTCAATTCATTGCTATTTTGGATAATATATTCCAGGCTTGCAGAGTTTGAACAAAATGTATTCTTTACAAAAAAGTCTCTTAGGCATAATTACAGTAGGTATTCAAAATGCCCTCCATTTTCATGAATGCAAGCACAAACTCTTTCCCAGATTTGAAGTATGATGTATGGATGCATGTGTAGTTTTTTCACACTTTCTATGCACTACCATAAAATAATGCACTCTGAATAGAAAGTTTCCATAAATTTTTGGTTGAAGAAAGCATCATTTAGATCCACACATTTCCATTTTATTGTTTCTTAAAACAGATGGTCATCTACTCTGCTTTTTGGCAAAGAAACTTCCAGTTTTTCACATAGCAATTAATAGCTCTTATCAGGTAGTGAAAACTTTGGATATTACTCATAAAATTCTTCCAGCACCTTTGCATATTATCATTGAGCAAAATATTGCTTAATTACATACCAGTACATACACATAGTAGCCATAGAAACGGTCATTGACTTTACTCTTATGAAGTAGCTGGAAACTTGGGTGAGTAGCGATTTTATCACTTATAATTGAAATAACAAGGAAGAAGGCAATGGCAAACCACTTCCTCAACTCTTGCCAAGAAAACTACATGGACAAGGAATTTCATAATAGAGATATAGTGTTGGAGGATGAGACCTTCGGGTTCGAAAGCACTCTAACTTCTACTGGGGACGAACAAGGAACTTCACTGACTAAGATTGAACATAATGGCATGATTAAGTCAAAGCTGAAAGGGAGTTTAATCATTGATGCAGTCAAACACGAAAAGAAAGTTCCAAGTTTCTTCAAACAACACATATTTGCAACATGGAATGTGAGAAGCATGTATGCTGGAAAACTAGACATAATTAAAAGTGAAATGACAAGAATAGGGATAGAAGTGTTAGGAGTCAGTGAGCTTAAATGGATAGGAATGGGACACTNCAACTATTGTTTGAATAAAAACTGTAATGCAAAAATACACAAATTGTGTTATATATATTATTGTATATGATTGTATTATAACAATCAAATCTAGTATATAAATCATAATTACATGAAATCACTGAACAAATCACACATGCAGGTTTGAATCATTAGTTTAGTGTGAATTTGAAAGGAAATAAACATATTTTAATACATTACTAAATAATTGAAATTCTATGGTTTAAACTTATATTTATGTGATGACTGGCTTTAGTTTATTATTACACTTATGTTTAGACAAATTTGAGAAAATCGGCAATAAATATAGAGAAATGGAAGAAAATAGTGGAAAAGGCATCAGACACCAATGGGCAATGAGCCCAGGGTTGATGATGATAAACAAATTTCAATTATTAAAAAGAATGGATATTAGTAGCAGGGGTGCACTCACTTCCTTTTACTCCTCTGGCTGCATAACTAAATTATCTTTGAAAATTAAATTGTTAAAATTAATCCTTCTCAAAAATTTAGAAACAATAATAATAATACTGTTCATTTTTAATATAATTTTGTACAGTTTAGATTAGTGGTGCCCAAACTTTTTGATTGGCAGGCTAAATTGCACATAACTTGTAGGTAGATGTAAAAATATTTTGTATATTCCATACACAGCATACAAAAAGTAGGCCTATTTCTATCATCTAAAGGTAATGTGTCAAATATGTCTGTGGACCATAGTTTGAGGGCTGGTGGTTTAGATAATTATTTTCTAGTTAATTAGATTGATAATCTAGCTGTTACTAACATAATTAATATAATTAATTTTCATATTAACAAAAAGAACACTTAAATTTAATTAACTAAAAATAATTTAAAATATATATTAGGTGCGGTAATTGTATTTACTGGACTCCTATCAGTTGCCTTCCTTCGTCGAGTTATCAAGGGATATGAATGGTTAGGAATATTCATTATCATAGTTGGATTAGTATTAGTTGGATTATCTGATATGATAAAATCTGGAAGTCAAGAATACAGTCAAAATAGCAAGATTTCTGGTAAGTAAATAATAATGTTAGTTGCTTTTTAATTTTTAATAGCTGTATTTCTTGGTATGCTATTAAAGACCTACAGTTTACTTTTATAATTATCTCATGATAAATGTTGCATAATATTATTTCCTTGCCTTTCATAAATCCAGAAAGCATCTTATCTGTTTGCATTCCTAACAGGATTACAAAACATTACTTCATATACAAATTGTGATGTGTTTTGTATACAGCCACTGTGGCCAAGCTCTCAAAAAATGACATGTGGTTCTTCTAGTCCCCTATTGCTGCTCCCATATATGCTCTCCACACAGTACAATATTACATATATCTAAGTAGCATGTCTCAAGTATAGAAAAAGAAATTGTATAACAATATAGGAGCCACAATAAGAGTCTAGAAGAGCCACATATAGCTTGTGAGCTGCAGTTTGGCTACCATAAATATATAGTGATAACTATGTGTTTTATGCTAAGCATTTGTTTTATTTATAATGGTTATGGAATCCAAAATACTTAACTTTGAATGCAGTTAAATAATTGTTTTATAAAATACTCAGACACCTGAGTTAATTTAAAATTATATAATTAAAAAAATTGTTTTATTCATGGAATAATAATATAAAAATATAGATTCATCTAACATTTTAAAATTACTTCGGATCTTAATAATAAAATTTGAAACTACTAACATTCTGTCAATAGCTATTGAAATAATTTGGCTATCAGAAAAGACTGGAACACTTATTCTGTGTGGTGAGATTTCCCCTAAAAAAAGAGAATAAGAGCACGAAAAGGATTATTGGGCCCAAAACAGTTTTTATTTAAAGATTTCAATTTCAACTTATTCTCACCAACTCATATTTTCAGTTGTCAATTGAATAGACTGTAGTGCAGAAAAATTGGGTACTCCATTAAAGTAGGTTTTTCCTAGCTTCAAAAATTTCATGTCTCTCCTATTATTCAATATGAATGTTATCTGTAACTTACAAACAACTTGAATTCAAAGTGCTTTGCATCCGAAGCATAATTTTCCATAAACAATATGTAACTTGATATTCAAATAATCTAGGTAGTCAAGTAGTTGAAAAATTTTTACAAAATCCAAGTATTATAGGGAATTCAAATTTAAATTCTCTAACAGTAAGTTTAAAAAGTTAAAAAAAAAATCTCTCAATGGGATTGGCTAATTTATAGAGTTTTTCTAAAAATATCTTAAAATAAAAGATTTTAAAACATTTGCAAAAAGTGACTTCTCTTTCTAAGCTGATTTTAGAGGATAAACATTTAAAGCTACCCTACACAATCAAAAGGAATAACTCATATTCTGATACTTTTAAAAATTCTTTACCTCCAAATACATTTCACCAAGATTACTTAGTCTAGGCCTCTTCAGTTGCAGTGCTGAGTGGTATAACAAGGAAACTAGGTATAATACTAAAACAATCATTTTGTGTACTTTCATTATTCATATGACAAGTCAATTATGTGAAGATCTGTTTATATTTAATATAATCCTATCTCAGCAGCGTCAATTACCATACCATTATTTAAATTTACATTATTTTTATACATAATTATTGTGTAATGTTCTTTGATTCTCCACTTTACAATATTATTTTCTTCATAGAGTATTTTAATGTTATTTTTATCTATTACACATATGTTTTCCTCACAGTGCTGATACCACAGTGAATTTATGTCTTTAAGCTATATTGCCACCATGTGTTCTGCCAATCTTTTTCCTAATAGGCATTTCATCTCTCCAATATAGCACTTTGGTTGATCACATGTGTATGTTACTGTGAATGACCGATATCTGGCGAATGTCGAGATTCTCCAGTGAATCTCAGCATTCACACAGTCATTTCGTGTATGTATGAAATAGTCGCTAAATATCATTATTTCTCACTTACACCAACAAATGTCGACATTGAGCATGCACTGATGTTGAATGTTGAATAAAAATATTTTTATTACGTTAAGACAAAAATGCAACTTTTTAATGTCAAAATAGGAGAAAACTTAAGTAACAGCACTTGTAAATAAACTGTTGAAACTAAAAATAANTTCCAAAAAGCCAAAAAAACAAAACTTTTAGGGGGACCAAACGCCCGAGTTTTATGTAACGCTATGTAACTTGCCCGAGATATCTCGGGCTTGGGGTTAGGTTAAGAAAAACGTTTCTGTTAGCGAACCCTTTGTTAAATATTTCGAATATCACCACTGATCACACGTATATGTTACTGTGAATGACCGATATCTGGCGAATGTCGAGATTCTCCGGTGAATCTCAGCATTCACACAGTCGTTTCGTGTATGTATGAAATATTCGCTAAATATCATTATTTCTCACTTACACTGGCAAATGTCGACATTGAGCATGCACTAATGTTGAATGTTGAATAAAAATATTTTTATTACGTTAAGACAAAAATGCAACTTTTTAATGTCAAAATAGGAGAAAACTTAAGTAACAGCACTTGTAAATAAACTGTTGAACCTAAAATGAACAGTACATTCTTAATCAGAAAAGAAAATTAATACACCGAATTACACATACACATATTACACATATATTATGTGATTAACGATATATAATTTTATTTATTGCAACAACTTAAACTGTTATGGCACTTTGAATTGCACAAGAGTCCCTTGCTTTTACAACTGCATTTATTTGTGGAACACTTCTTTTTGCAATGACAGCGTGTATAGCCTTGCCCTCTACTTTTTGAATTAGCAGTAGCTGCTTCTCTCAGCGATATTTTTTGAGAAGAAATCTCATCTATGGAAAGTAACTTTTCTTTACAAATTACGAACTGATTACGTTTATAAAGCTGCTTGAGGGTACCATTTTTGTTTGCTAATTTATAAAAGTCGGAGATCTTCTATTCCAACTACAACCGCCAACACATTTCGGGCATCTATACGGCCACGGTTGACATCGGAGACTTGTATTCTTACGGTATCACCAATTTGAGCAGAAGGAAACGGCAAAGAATTTGGCGACAGACTGTCGCCTCTCCATTGACATCGGCTTCTTGGGTGTCGTTTCGACCTTCACCAAAGCTTATCTGTGTTTGTCGACATACACCAGCAATTGTTTGAATGTATAATAATATAACCAAATATTTGGTTTTTTACCGACGTATTTTGTATGTGTCGACATTCACCGGAGAATATCGACATTCTCTTCTTTCACAGTAACATATACATTATCTTGTATATTACTACTGATAATTTGTTTTTCCATTTTTCCTGATCTTCTATCATTGATAACCTATTTATTTGATAAGATGCAAGTGTAGTTAATGAATTATTAAATATTTTTAAATATTTTTTGAAAGTTTCTTCTATATATGGAAAAGAAACAATTTTTTTTAATTTTTAACATTATATCTGTTATTCATATATTTATCACACCACTTTCTTATTAATATCATTGGATATCTGTTCAATAAATGCTCTTGTATAGCTGTTAGATTTTTTTTTTTGTATCTTTGTGTCTTCGTTACAAGTTGTTCTTGTGACTATCTTTTCTAGTTACATTTTAAATGCATTTTTTTTCATAGCTATAGGGCAATAAGACTTAAAATTTATTGTTTTCTTTACATTACATACTTTTCAAACTTACAGATATAAGACATTCATTGAATCTTTTTATTGTAATGTCCAGATAATTAATCTCTTTGTTTTCTTCACACTCGTATGTGAATTTAATGTTCTGATCTATTTTGTTGGCATTTCTCATAATTTCTTATGCTGTAACAGTACAGGTATACCTCAGGTTACATCATTTTGAGTTAAGTCATTCTCAATTATATATCATTTGTCAAAAAAAATATATGAAAAAATAAAAATCAAGTTTAAGTCATTTTATTCGACTTTATGTCTGTCCACCACAAATATTGAAGTTGTAATATCACTAGAGAAGTGTTAAAAGCACATAAAATCATATTAAAATGCATACATTTACAATAAATGTTAATATAATCATCATAAATCCTAGAGAATGAAATATGAAAACATCTGTGACTCTGTGTTGTCATCTTATTTAGCAGTCTTTAAGAGCTCAATATTGGCATTTTTCACAGTAGTTCCAATATCTACTGTTTAGCGTCATTGGCAGTGCCATTCAATACTGGTAAATTTAACATAAATTAGTTTATTTTCATACTATTGCAAAAAAATTTTAATAACTGTATTTGTTATTTAACCTTACAAAATCATTTTACTTTATAATGTCTTAGAGCAAACCACATTCACAAATAAAGAGTCTATGATGTACTGTAAACATCGCCAAATTGTAAACATTCATATTTACAAGTATGTACAGTAAGACCCCGCTTAATGCGGGGGATATGTTCCTATGACAAAGCGCTAAACGAAACAGCATTAAACAAAGTCATTTTAACACAGAGTAAATAGGGAAAGGGGAACATATGTCCAAAAATAAACAGATTTTACTTTAATTTTAAGTTATTTTTATATTAATTTGCATAATAATATATGTTAAATAACATAAACATATGCATGGGTATGTTAAGNGCAGTGCCATTCAATACTGGTAAATTTAACATAAATTAGTTTATTTTCATACTATTGCAAAAAAATTTTAATAACTGTATTTGTTATTTAACCTTACGAAATCATTTTACTTTATAATGTCTTAGAGCAAACCACATTCACAAATAAAGAGTCTATGATGTACTGTAAACATCGCCAAATTGTAAACATGCATATTTACAAGTATGTACAGTAAGACCCCGCTTAATGCGGGGGATATATTCCTAGATGACAAAGTGCTAAACGAAACAGCATTAAACAAAGTCATTTTAACACAGAGTAAATAGGGAAAGGGAAACATATGTCCAAAAATAAACAGATTTTACTTTAATTTTAAGTTATTTTTATATTAATTTGCATAATAATATATGTTAAATAACATAAACATATGCATGGGTATGTAAAGTTTATTTTTTGTTGACAAAGCTCTTTTGGCTCTTCTGAATTTCTTGTGTGATGAGTAGTGTAATTTTATTTCTTTGCTTTGTTTTTCTTTCCTTAAGCAAATGTCGGTAGCAGGAGATTGCATCCAAAATGCCTCATCTTGCTTTTGCACTCCTTTCAATACCTGGATCGTTCAGTACAGTTTGATCGATGATTTTGGTTATCATTATTAAATTTTTACTAAGGAAATCTATAGAGAAATTCAGTTCTACAAGAATTCCTTGTTCTGCTAGTTCTCGAAGGTCGTCATTGGTAAGGCTTTCACCAGAAACCTGTATTAACTCCTCAATATCTTGCTCATCTACATTTAATATCAATTAAGTAGACAATTGGTCAACCTAATGATACAGTGATAGACTCTTCTCGTTTAGAATTTTTGGATAACTTCAGCCATAACTTCTTTCACACTTCAGCCATGCATATCAGTTAATTCTTGCCAAGTGAAGTCGATATGGCCTATGGCATCTACAATGTTATATTTTTTCAAAACTTTACCAAACAAATATAGATTTAAGGAAAATACAGTGCTATGAGAAATTACTATCTTTTGCTGATTGCTTCGTGTTCGGGAATATTGTTTTATATACGAATCAATGAAATGCCGTGATAATTTGAATCAGCGTAAATTTTGAGCTTTTTTTTAGGCTTCAAGCAGACCACATTATATCAAATCAGCATTAAGCGGGGTCTTACTGTACACACATGTATTTGTTAATTCTATGATATACTTCAGAATCTCTTATTTAAATAATATTTGATCATATTAAATTTAATTGATGGAGTGCTGTTATATCAAGGCTCTATTAGTCTATATGCTAATTAATGTATAAATAGTGTAAATTTGCACCCATTTCTTCTCAGCATCCTATGCATCTGCACAATTTGATTGTATCTAGAGCCAGAACTGTATTCTGTAATGAAACATGACAAATTACACTGGAGAAGGTTCAATAATCACATTGAATATAGCTTTTTTTTTAAACTGATCAATCATAGTATATAAAAAAATCTTTAAATTAAATATGTTATAACATTGTGTATTCTGAAATTGTGTATCCTTTTATCTGGTTTTACTGTCACGACTAGGTGCATAGACAGACACTGGGCATTTCTGACATCAATCTCAATCTTTTTTCAGGAATATCTCATTGGCTGAGATGTATTTTGGGCATAATCCCCTCTTCTGTTGGCTACATAATAAAACATAAACATGAATTTCTCATACATTAGTAACGAAGTTCCAAGGATTAATTTTGTCGATTAAATCAATATTATGACCATACAAATAAATTTGGGTCTATGCAGAATTATCCTTTTTACAAAAAACTTTTACGATATAAGCGTTAAATTAAACACGTATGTCACTAAATTGACGAGCACTTTTGACGATACACACTTTCGTCTTCTTGTGGATCAGCTTGTACAGTTATATAAAACATCGCAATTAAATCCACAATATAGAGGCGTCTAGCGCATGCGCAGTATAAACGTGCGTGCTTTTTATTTAAATATCTTTTTTATATTCTACCGTTGCTGGTATTCCAAAATGTTAGTTAAGATTGGAATGTTTTTTAAAAATTTTGTATTCAAAAAAGGTTCTTATATCTTCTAATGACCTGAAGAAGACGAAAGTGTGTATCGTCGAAAGCGCTCGTCAATTTAGTGACATACGTGTTTAATTTAACGCTTATATCGTAAAAGTTTTTTGTAATAAATGATTAGCGTGCTGTCCATCACTATATTATACTTTTTAATCGTCCAACAAGAGACAGATGGTAACAACTTAAAACCGACAAATGACATTAAAAAATACACACAATACAATTGACGCCGACATTTTCTTAGAGGATCCAACGCCAAAAACACAGTATTCTCATACAAATTGCTTCATATTATAATAGGTTATAACGTACCATTACTTCCGGGATATCTTGTAAGGTGGTTTTAACTGGTATACATCTTATTTAAAATTACTTATTTACAGTTAAAAATATTTTACTATTAAAATACCTTTACAGTTTAAAATATATTCACACTTAGAAGTACCATTACAGTTAGTTTTTTTTTTTTTTTGACTTTACACTGAACATCACCTAGCACATACTCTTGATGCCCATGTTAATGAGGTTCTTTTTAATCTTGTTGGCATATTAACATAAACAAAACTTGCTAAAATATGAAATCTCCAAGTATACAANATATTTAATTGAATTGACTGAATCGGAAACTAAGAAAAATGGTGATTACGAATGTTCATTTGGAGACGAATTCACCTCGCTATAAGGGTGCGGGAGATATGGGCTTGAAAGTGGTTGAAAGTGGCTTTCTATTTCGAATGTTTTGTTCGAATTTGTTCGAATTTAATTTGAACAATGTTCAAATTTGTTCGAATTTGTTTGAATTAAATTCGAACATAAAATTCGAATATTGGTTCGATTATAGAACGATTGTAAATGTTCCAGAAACGTTGAAAATAGTTTGTTTGACTTGACGTAAACAGGAGACGTTCAGAAGTAGAATCGGGACCAGATCTCTAATCAGAAATGGGGGACCTAATTGTTTTATTCTGTGAAAACGGGTAAGATTGACTATAATGTAATTATCTTAATCTTCACTATCGTTACTTTTTAAAAACCCAGCGAAGCAGGTCCTTGCAGCTAGTTTTAAATAAATTTTCAATATTTTAATGTTTAAAATATTGATGAGAAAAATTTTTAAAGAAAGGATGTAACATTCGTTATATCAGAGAAAAGGGAAGTTAAACTTCCTTTTAGACAGCCGACTATCTGATGAATCAGTAGTGGCCTTTTGCACATGCTGCTGGGCCATCTGAAGGAGCTGCTATAAAAAGGGCTTTTTCCCACTAATCAGGGAAAAAGTCACGAGTCTGTGAAGGGAAGATTACCATACAGAACTTGTGCAGTTTCCCGTTGTAGAATGTGCCACATACGAGACTCTCAAGAACGCATACATAGAAGTTACGTTACAAGATTCTATTCTCCTCACGATCATCTCCCAATGTAACGCTACCGAGGACCAGAATAAGCTGAGGTAGTATAATAAGTTAGATTGATGTAAACCAGTGGTTCTCAACTGGGGGTACATGTGCTCCTAGGAGTACGAGCGTAAATCGAAGAGGTACATCTAACTTTCATTATAAAATGGCATATATTAATCAATTTGCTGTAAATTATTAACTCAAGAAACAACAAAAACTTGCTTTAAAATATCCCAGTGTGAACACCAATTTCCCTTTTAACAGTCTGAACAACTTGTTTGTCCATTTGATTTGCCTGTCTATTTGTGTCGTTAGTGCTGAGTGAACCTGTAGTCTAGTAAAGTTACGGTTTAACTGAGCATTAATTTTAGAATAGAAAAAAAATATTTTTTCTATTCTATAATAATACTTTTCATCCCCTTTCCTATCTCGCTTTACTTTTTTCCTTTGCCTCTTCCCTTAATTACCTTTTCTCTACTCTTCTTCATACTTGCGCAATACCAATGAGTAGTCCCGAGTCTTCATCTCCTTTATGCTAAATATTCTATAATTATTGCTTGATAAGATTGGGGCTTTTCGTGTTTTTACTGGACTACTGGTATTAGGAATAATGAGGCCTGGATCGTACCCCCACCATGAAATACGTGTCACTACATGCACGCATTACTTGATATTTAGCAAATTTAGACGTTAAATTTGTGACAAAAATTGAAAGATTCATGTATTGTTCTGCGCATTATAAATTCGCAGCCATTACTTTCAATGTCAGTACACAATTATAATCTCTACTTAACAACGTGGGAACCAAGAAAAAATTGCNTAGTTTCATTTTTGATTACTTTTTCTGTGGGTTTTACTTTCATAGCTGTTATAATGTAACATGGCTTACATTTCTAGCTGTTATATAATATTGTAAGCATGTCACATTTTACTTTCCAGAATGTTGAAATCTCGTTGATTTTGACACCTCTGAACCAAAAAAGTCAAAAAACTGATATCTGAAATTTGTGGGTGTTTGGATGTTTATTTTGTTTACTATTTCAGGATGGATTAAAGATTAAGAAATGAAATTTGGCATGTTAACTTTTATATAAGGAGCATTGATGCAAAAAATTTGATGGTTAAAGGTTGAGGGGTAGGGATATAGAGGAATTTTTACTTGTCATATTTCAGATGGGGTCAGACTTAATGAAAATTTTAACCATTATTGGCATTTACAATATTTTTAAAAACTCATCTCTACCCTCAAAATTAAGCTGTAATTAATAATATAAAAGTTATATTTATAATAAAACCTCATAACAGCCAGGAAAGTTACACAACTTGTTGCTGAATTTTTTGTTACTGTTGTTGTTTCCTTTCTTTTCAATTTTACTTTTCCTTTTGTGAATTAAATTCTTTCCTTTATCTTAATATTCTGAAATATTTAATATTCCTGTCAGTCTGTGTTTAGACAATGAATGATGACATACTGCTACTTCATTGCAGCCCTGTATCATCCTTTAATATATAAGATGCTATATAAGATTATAAGATATATAAGATTAAAACTCCTTAAGCCCTTAACCTATCTGATTTTGAAATTTCTCTCTGTTGCATGTCGGCCCGGGTTGAATTTTTGTCCATGTGTAACGAAAATTTCCTGTTTTTGAAAAAAATAATCATGGCTATTGTATCATCCGAAGTTATTTTTTTTATTTTGCGCAAACAATATACAGTTTAACCCGATTATAACGTCATCAGATTTAACGACAACCCTAATATAACGTCAAATTTTTATTGGTCCCACAATTTTACTATACTACATAATGTTAAAAAAAACCCACTTCTAATGACATAAAACCATTTTAACATCATATTTGAAACCCTCCCAAATTTACAAAATTAGATTACAAATTTTATTTAACATAGAATAAACTACATGATCAGTCCTAAGGTCGGAGTTCGCTTCTTAGAATGACTGCGGGTGGTACTCTTCCCTACCTGACTTCAGTGGGGCGAGGTGGCTGTTTTGCCTGTTTGTAGAAGAGGGTTGCCATTTTGTATTTTATTTTGACTCGATTCTTGGCCCCCTGACTACCTACGAGTCTGGATTTTTTTATGCGCAAATGATTTGGGCACCTAATACTCTGTGCCAAATATCAACTCTCGACAGGTACTCTTTCATACCTCTATGCTGGTAACATAAAATAGCAGTATAGTCGACCCCCTATAACAATGTTGATAATTCCGTTTTATATTAATTCCATGTTGTACGAGTCACTTAGATTTTACAAGTATGTGTGCCGGGCTGTGAATGGTTCACGTATTTGTAAAATCTAAGTGAGTCGTACAACATGGAATTCATAAAAAACGGAATTATCAACATTGTTATAGGAGGATTGACTGTACAATTTTATAAACAAGACATAGTCTTGTCAATAAGTGTGTTGGTAATAATGACATTTTATTATTATAATTTTTCAAATTCATATCAGAGTTGAAATATTATACAATGACATATTGTTTATACATTTCTCAATTGACCAGGCCAAAAAAAAAATACGGGGTGATCATAAATTCTCAACAAATTAAGAGGTGATAGTACACATCAAGATGAACAATATTTGTAATGGAACCTAGGGCCACATTCCTCTCATAGTGCCAGAAAACATTAAAGTTATATATCTATGTTGATCCTTCAACAGTGAAAAAAACTGTTGAATGAAAGACTTTCATCCTCTTGTAGACTCCTAGTATGGTGTTGATCTTGTCTGCAGCAACAATGATTCTCATGACAAGATCTTCCATGGAGTCCATATACATCTCATACACCAATGTTTTCATGTACCTTAGAAGAAATCCAGTGGAGAAAGATCCAGGGAGCATGGAGGCCACATGTCCAATCCAATGGAATATGTTTCATTTAAGAAGTATTGCATCTTGGTGGAAAAGTTTTATGGGACCCATCATGTGTCTTTCTTACATGTTCCTCTGTATGGTGAGCAGAACACCCTGCAACATACCAGGAAGCACTTGCTCACACAGTACACTGCCCCAGCCAGACATTCTGGCAAGAGGTAAGGTCCCACCAGACAATCATCAAGGACACCTGCCCAGATATGGACGGCATATCTTTGCTAGTGTTTTCAAGGATTAGTGATGTGTGGATTTTTTTGAGCCCAACATGCTGGTTATGATGATGAAAATGCCTTCCTGTGTGAATGTGGCCTCATCACCAAATAACACTAATGTGAGAAATCCTGGATTAACAGTGTTCATCAGAAGCATCCACGAAATAGTCATCACGAGGTGAGATAATCTTCTCCATTCAAAGCTTGGATTTTCTGGACTTGGAAGGTAATCATACCTGTTTCATGCAGAACATTCTACACAGAATTTTTACAAGCATCCATTTCAGATGCCACTGCGTCTGCAAATTGCTGCAAGATACCCACTTCCATTTTCAGTGTCTGCACATTTCAGGTACAGTACATCCGGTATCCCTCATTGATGTAGCCAATGGGCCAGTTTCATACAATCTTTGATTAACACTGGTGAAGGTCAAATGGTAAGGAATACAATGATTTAGAAATCTCTTACAGTACAATCTTTGCGCTTCACATTCATAACCAACTGGTTGGCCATACATTAAATGCATATCTGCCAATTTCTCTTATGTTAAGTCCTCCGTGTTTGCATGAATTATCCTCTGATGTTATCACAATATTTATTGATGAACAGGTTGGGCTGCATTTTTAAATGTTTGCTCCTAATCATCTATGCAGCTGATCAGCTGACCTGATTTACATCTTGTACTTCTCATACATGGGTTGTAAATACTTGCGCATTCTGGACGATTTTTCATCTTGTTCTGTTTTGGCACTATGAGTGGAATGTGGAACCTAGTTTCTATCGCAAATATTGTTTGTCTCGATGTGTACTATCGCTCCTTTTTTATTGAAAGAGTTTACGATCATCCTGTATAACTGTAAAAATATATAATTAAAATTTAAGTTAAGATGTACCACAAGTTGTAAAACTAATAATTTTTATGACAAATTATTAGTGTTACAGCTTTTAGCAAATATTCTAATTTTTATCTTTTATTCATATTTTCATTAAGAACAGTGATAATTTTTATTGCATACTTTTATGACGACACACGTCATAATTCGTGTATCTCATTAACAGCAACAAAATGAGGCTCCAAAATGATTTTTGCATATTTAAGACTGAAAATAATTAGTAACAAATGGCTTATTGCTGTCTATAACTTTTAAATTTTAGAATGTTTAAAAATTGTCAGGTGTTCTCTGTTAGAATCATTAAGAATTGGAGTAGTTACTGAAATAGATACGTGAAAGGAATATGTTATATAAAAAATAATTTTAAGACACGCGTGAGGCACTTGTGTTTTTATGGAATATATAAGTAACGGAACGGAAGTAAGTAAAATAAGAGTTATCTTTTTTACAGGTTTCTTCGGTTTTATTATATTGTCAATTTTATTGGTGCCGATGTATTACATACCAGTGGGAAAGAATTTTTTTCATAATCCTAAAGGAAATTTAGAAGATGCCATCGACGGCTTCTATCAAATTGCAAATTCTTGGCAAGTGTGTTTGGGCGTTTGCGGTAAGATATTTGTGGATCGTTAGAATATTCATTTGGAAAATGAGAATCCACTAATCGATATTGGTGTATTTTTAGGGACGGTGATCAGTATCGCCTTTTTTAATTTTGCCGGAATAAGCGTGACCAAAGAGATTAGCGCCACCACCAGGATGGTGTTGGACAGCATCAGGACCCTTGTAGTGTGGATCTGCGGCATGCTTCTGTTCCACGAGAAGTTTGGTTGGCTGCAACTAGTGGGATTTCTGATACTTTTAGTGGGAATGTGTTTGTACAATGACATATACATCCGGCAATTTTGGAACAAACTGACACGCAGGGGAACGTCGGAGGAGCTCGACCCCCTCTTGAACACCGAAAACGGAAGTATAAATGCCGAGAAGTAGTCGGAAGAAATTACTAAACGATTGTGATATTTTGTAAATAAATCTACATTCCATCTCAATTTTCCACCAGAACAAAAATTATTTTTAAATTTTTCCGGCGAGATTTCCGTTTATACCGGGGTGGAAGAATTCAAATATATCGAAAAATCTTTTATTTAATTAATAAACGGGTCGAAATTTTGTTAAAGTTAAAATTTTTGTCAATATTTTATTCTAATGTCTTTCCGCCGCCTTTTAAATTCAAGCCATGTTTTATATAAGAATTGTAGAAAATTTCGTTTTAATATTTATAATAAAGTGTTTTTCGATTCCTTCGCGTTAAACGAATCTGAAGTTATCGAATAAATTATTCGGCAAAACGACGACGATGATTTAAATTCGTCTTAAACTATGTCGATGTGGATAAAATACATTCACTATCGAGTCAAAGGTGACGTAACCCTCTGGTGTTTAAAAACAAAAATATTTTATCTGGGCCATTCTTGTGTATTATCAGCAATAAAAACGAATGGGAATAGAAAAGGCAAAGCTTTTCCTTTCACTCCAAATTGCAATTTCAAGACCATACAAGAGCCCAATATAAGTTTTTGTCTATTCCCGCTCGAAAAACAGATGATAATTCGGAAATCGGTCAGTTATATCTATGAGCTCCGAATTCTGAAGAGTAAATTAGACTTAAGAATTGGCAATAGTTTCCCGATTGTCCAGCTTTACACGAACAAGTTATGCTGTCAATTTTAAAAGATTTTTCCTTAATGTTTAAAATGCCAATAATTTTGTGTGGGACAGAGCCGGATTTAAGCAATTCGAGGCCCTAACTCAGTGTTGTCACCTTTTCAAAATTTGCTGACTCGGACATTTTAAAATTAGGATGTTATACTTAGAAATAAAAAAGTTAGGTTTTTTTTTATTGTGAGTAGAAAATAAATATTTTTTATTAGAAGGTAAACACGTACATGATATAGACTATAATATTAAAGTAATACAATAATCACATTTTTTTAAAACTCTACACTAAGAGGGCCTCTTTTAGCAAGCCCATTATGGGCTCGACAAGGCCCACAATGGGAGGGATGGAGATCGACGTATCTGAACGGACCACCTCCCGACCTGCCCGGATTCGATCCCGGGTCTCCCTGAGCGGTAGGCTGCCACCTTAACCGCTCGGCCATCGGGCCTCTATGGGAGGGTTAGTAAGAATTAAGGAAGGCCCACCAGTGGTCGAGCGGTCTTCGTCCCCGCACTTGAGTGGACTACACCCTGAACACTGGGAGTTCGGTAGTGGGTTCGCGCTTCGCTCGGAGGGGCCGCATCATGGAGTTTTCCGGATTTTCTCCATGTCGATGACGCCCGAATAGGGACAAGTTTTCCATAAAAGTCCTCCCGGAAGGCATTATTTCCCCTCGCGCACGTTTAGGCCGTTTCTATAAGGCTGGCTCTTCGGTCTCATAGCGATCATTACAAGTCTATCGGAGAAAGAGCACGTAAAGCTAGAATCTCCATATAAACCAAATCAAAATAAAGAATTAAGGATGCACCGTTAAGCAAAATGGCCGATTACCGATTAATCGGCCGATTAGTGTAAATAGTTAATTAATAATACTGTATGATTCTTATGGCATGAAATAGTGTGTTCTTAATAAAAAATATACAATTTCATACAATAAAAATAATTTTTAATATGAATCTATTTTTTTCTTTTTCAGATTCATGTATTAAGTCAAAATAATAAATTATTATTTTGAAAAACTTAAATTTTAATTAATAGCTAAACACCAACCAAATGCCGAAATTATATCGGGCTAGTTTAAGGCTAATTACTAAATGAATTACGTAACCAATTTGGCTCTAGAGGTAAGCGTTAGGCGCCATCTCTTATTAACATTAATAATCTATATCTATATCGCACGTGAATGGTGTTTTTATGTGGTAGTAGCCCCAAGTCTGCATTCGTGCACTATGGTGGTCGCGTCTCGATAGCTATAAGGGTGCGGGAGATATGGGCTTGAAAGTGGTAGAAAGTGGAAGATTTTCTATTTCGATTTTAAAAATGTTCGAACCGTTTTAAATTCAAATTGGTTCGATTATAGAACGATTGTAAACGTTCCAGAAAATTGATCAAATTGAAAATAGTTCGTTTGACTGGACGTAAAAATTGTCTAATTAGTCTGGAAACGGGGGACCTAATTCTTGCATTTTGTGAAAACGGGTAAGATTGGCTATAATGTAATTATCTTAATATTCACTATCCTTACTTTTTGCCCAGCGAAGCGGGTCCTTGCAGCTAGATTCTAGATTACTTAGAAAAACAGTCTTTTATATATATAAAAAACTATATTACATACAAATGTACGAACAAATAAAAACCCAGCGAAGCAAGTCCTTGAAGCTAGTTATAAATAAAATTAATTTAAAACCGCTGGGAGAAAAATTAATTAATAGTCAAATTCATACCCCATGGCTTCCAGTATTGCTTGGAAATTTTTTAAGAAAGATAAAAACGAGATGTTTTTCAAGCGCAATTTGTGCCAGGCATATCGAGAGGTGGAAAAAATGCTAAATTTTTATCGTTACAAACATGATAAATCATCTCAAAAAATGTCGTCATGAAAAGTTTTTAAAAGAAACTGGATAGATGAAAAGAGAAAGTTCCGAAACCAAAGAAGCTGGATGTTCATCCGTAACAACGGAAACTCATCCAAAGACAAGATACTTTAAGTCAATTAATAGAGAAGAAAAAATTGTGGGATGTTAATGGTCAACGATCCAAAGTTCATTATTTGATTGGAGAAATGATAAGTGTAGATATACAGCCATACTCTGTTGTGCCTGATTTAGAATTTCAAAAGATTAATAAAAAAGATCGTTCAAATTACAATATTTGCGGCAGAAAATATCATCCCTCATATATTTCAAAAAGTTCAGGAAGCTATTGATGATGCAAAATATATTTCTTTAACCTCTGATATTTGGACAGCGACTACAAACAATTCTCTTTTTTAAAGTGTAACAGCCACCACATTGAAGGATGATTTCCAGCAAGAGCTGTTTTGCGAATTGTCCCCTTCGAAGCTTCCCACACAGTTGCACGAATCAGTGAATAGATAAACATTCTTCTTGAACAGTATAAGCTGACAAGTGATAAGATATTCTTAGTACTGAGATATTCTGGAGAAAATATGGTAGCTGGAATCAGGAATTGCAACTTACAGGCATTATCATGCTTTGTACATACACTGCAGCTGACACTAAACGAATGCATATTTTCTCAACAAGATGTGAAAACTATAATCACAGTTAATAGAAATATTGTCACACATTTTAACCATTCTGCTGTAGCTGTAAGCAAATTAGAAGAATTGCGAGACAAGTTAGGTTTGCGGAAAGACAAATTAATTCAAGATGCTCCTACTCGCTGAATTCTACATACTACGTGTTGCAAAGAAACTCGAAACAGCAAAAAGCCCTTGTCACGTGCGCTATAGATAATAAAATTCCTACGTTGAGCCCATATCAGTGGTCTCTCGTTGAAAAAATTGTTCTACTTTTAAAACCGTTCGAAGAAATTACTGTGAAAACTAGCAAACGAGAAACCACCTTATCTTCATTAATTCCCACAATAGAGACCGAAATTATTCTTATCAAAAGCAAAGAGTAGTACTTTCTTTCTTTAGTGGCATTAACACCACAATAGAATAACTAGAAAATTAAATTATTTTAATTGAAATTTCTAGTTATTCTATTGTGTAATAAAGATTTTGAGCATATATAGAAAACAAGTCTTTATGGTTGTCGTCTTTATTAGATCCAAGATTCAAAATGAAATTTCGAAAAGAGGATATGGTAAAGGAAATAAAAAATGGATAATTGATAGCTCAGAAGATGTTGATAATTCAAAATCTCAAGAATAATTAAATTCTGACGTCCCTATTCTGGAGATGATCAAGATGGACGTTAATCTCTAAGTTTTTCTAATTTATTTGATGAATTAGCTTGTGGTAAACGAAAAAATGAAGAAGAGCATGTTTTTAAAAAAAGAAAAAACGAAACCAACGAACAAACGTCGATCAAGAATTAGAAAATATTTACACATACAAAGACATAGTCACCCTTTTCGTGGTGAAGTTCAAAGGAACTTTTTCTTAATTTGAGCAAAATAGCTATGAAATATCTAAGTGCACCAGCATCTTCCATTGAAAGAGAAAAAATTTTCAGCTCTGGAAGTAACATTTACGAGCCGGCAAGAAATAGGCTATGCCCCGAAAATGGTAAAATTCGCATGTTTTTGAATTACAATTTAAGGGTTTTTAAAGTTTGAATATTAAATTTTTATTTGTTTTATACGTTTAAATAAAAGAGATAGTTTTGAATAGGTTATATTATACTTATAATATCTATTGATAAAAGGAATAATTTGAGTCGAAAAAGTTTTTAATATTCAGTTTGTCATGTAATAAATAATAAATATATAACAGAAATCTATTAATTTTTATTACTAGCCTTATATTAATTAGTAAGAATCATCCACCAAATACATCTGTGGAGTAGGATATGACAGTACACAGTGTGGAATAACTCGAAAACTAAGCATCCTACAAAAAAGTCATTAAAACAAAAATGTTAGCCCCATCTCGTAGTCCCTCGAAGACTATTGGCGCTACAATCGGTGAAAACGGGGCAGCTTCATTTTCTTAAATGGGAATCTCCATTTTTATTACATACGACAAAAACTTTTCTTTAAAACATTTTTTTCGAAAAATGCACCCCACAAGTGAACGTTTTAACTTTCAATCGATCGAAAATGATTAACAGCCCGAGATAAACTAATAAATTTGTGAGTTTTTACTGTAGTATTAAGTCGAACTGCGTTAACTCGAAACTGTCAATAGTTTCCGAGTAGAGCATGTAGGGTTTTCTGTATAACGAGGTCTCGTTAGATGGAAATTGCCGCTATTTTCAACTCGGACCTATTTTTCCGTGTAATCCCCCTTTGATAGGTCAATGATCTTCCTTTTATCTTATATTACCCGTGAATACAGACGATCGAGATAAACAAATGCTACGGCTCCATCCAAACAATATTGCGTCATTACAACAACGCTTTACTGATCCTGTTGTTACGTTACCGGCGTTATGATTGAGAGGGAGCGACTTGACAATATCCTCAAAAGCGCCATAAAATGTAATTTTGTAATTATTGTGTGAACGGATTCCTGAGAAACGGTTTGATAACCAAAAATTTACGGCCGCAGAAAAATTCGAGACAGTCCTGTATTAAACTCGTTAACTCGGAATCCACATTGTTTTATTCCTTCGACTTAACGAGATTTTACTGTAATTAAAGACCGATTAATATACTTTTGAAATATTAATATTTTGTCCTTAAACGAGAAAAATACTTATATAAAACGAATATTCAGACGAAATATATTTTTAATCATATTGTAAAAATACAAATAAAAATATTGACGTCTTCCTCGTCGTCCATTTCATCATCGCAAGAAACACGATGATCCATATCGGCGGAGTCGACCTTCCCTTATAGGCTACTTCCCCGCCGATAGATGTGCAAATCGAGTAAAAGTTCCGTGATTTCGGACATTTTCCATAAAAACGTCGACTCCGCCAACGTGGATCATCGTGTTTCCTGCGATGATGAAATGGACGACGAGGAAGACATTGTATAAGTCTTAATTAAACATAGTGTTTTTCAAATTTTGTTTCAAAAAATCTTAAGGTGGAATGTTCGTCGCAGAACCGAAACAATACGCTAATTCACGAGGCCACAGAGAAAATTTCTATTTTGCCTATCAATATGTCGTGTTTGGTAAGAGTGATGGGATTCGACTCTTACCAAATCGATCAAATAAAACGCGGATGGTCCGAGAAGACCAACGACGTGTCTTTAGTAGGAAAGGAATCCAAACGAATCAACAAGATGAATCGAATCACAAGCAATATTCTAAATTCATCCGACTTCTTCCTATTTTAGACTCTCTCTACTCTAAGGACATTAAGACGACTCCCCCCGCACACACGTACAGGCTCACAACGGGGACGACCGGGTGGTGAGGAAAAAGTCCCAACATATCCGTGAAAAATTTCTGGGATTCCTCGAGCGGCCGGATTTGATACCGGGAGTCCAGAGCAGTAGGCTGACGGTTTGTGCACCTCGGTTATCCGGTCGAATAGTAGTCTGGACTCGTAAAACACGATTGAACAAGCTACAAATGTCCATTTACACGCAACAGTGACGTGACCGTGCTGTCGGTGAGTGGTCGCGAACTTTTCCGAGGGCGAATTGGCTACGATAGCTATAAGTTTGGACGAAGAAGAAAAATAACTGCCATCGAGAAAGCGTGGACGAAAACGATCGACGGAATGGGAGTTTCGCGTCCTTTATAAAAAATGAATACGCGACGAATCTGTATTTCCCGAATATTTTCCAATGTCCCAACACGCGTTTCGTATTTCATTGAACAAAACGGAGGAACATTCGTTTTGTACCCAATGTCCGCGTATTTCCAATGAGATAAATATCAATTAAAATTTCAATTAAATGTTCTCAACAAAATTTACCGTCGGTGAAAATATCGTTCCGGTCAAATGTACTTTCACGCCACCGCCACTGCCCGGCACCGTCTGGACAGGGTGGTTTAAAACAAGGTCGACGATTTCCCACCGGCAAAAATCACTGCACGGTCACGTCACTGTTGTAAATGGACCCTAACTGTATGAAAGAAAATTGAAAAAAAAAAAAAAAATTCTCAAGATGAAACACACGGGCAACCTGCAAGGAAGTACAGTACCTCCGTAACCTCTCGGGAGAATCTATGGGAAACTGGCCCTTATTCAAGTGTTAGACACGTAAAAACGAAAAGTCCACGCATCGTTCTTCAGTCTATTAGTGAGGGCGAATTACCACTCGGCCATCGCCGTAAGAAAGTCGATAGGTATAATAGCGCATTGAAAGAATCCGACAAAATCGGAATAAACGGAATGTCAACCTAGCGGGATCGCCTCCGAGCGGCACGCGCCAACACATCTGTCCGCGCTCGCATAATTTTCCATTGGCTACAGCGAAACCCTGCAAGTTGATACACGCTAATTAGAGGAACGAACCTGCGTGTGAAAATATTTCGTGTTCCGACAGCTTCGTTTTCGTCGTAAATATCCGAATCGTCCGACGGAGATAAAGAAATTACCAGAGTGAAACCGGTTACGTAGCGATTAAGTAAACCGAATTAGTTACCGAGCGAGGTCGACGGGAGTAAACAGAGAAAGTAACAAGGTCATTCTCGTGGTCGTTACCGTCGACATTTTAATCTTGCCGAATTATCGATCGTACCGACGCATCCAATCGTAATCTTCGTTTCGGGCGTCTTTCGAAGCAAGACGAAACGTCGATATCTTTCTTGTCTCCCCTCTTCCAGTAGATAATTTTTTAATATTCGCCGTCGATTTTAACGTATTTTTCTGCCGTCGTTTTCGACGTCTATCGCCCGATTCCTATCTGGCCGCCAGGCGTCGCTAGTAAAGGTCAAAGGACTAGGAGATGGCGGCGGTGGATCAGGCCGTGTTGCTGTTCAGGGAGATAAACAGGCGCCTGAAGGTATACGAAGAGATTTTGGCGGTGGTGGGACTTTTGTACGTCAGCAAGAAGCTGCTGGTCATCTCGTGGAAGGTGCTGAGAGGTTTTCGCGTCTTCGTGCTGTCGCGCGTCGTCCGCAATGACCCGAAGAAGTTTGGTCGATGGGCGGTCGTCACCGGCGCCACCGACGGCATCGGCAAGGCCTACGGCCGCGAGCTGGCCAGTCGGGGACTCAACGTGGTACTGATCAGCCGCAACCTGGACAGGCTGAGGAAGACGGCGGAAGAACTGGAGAAGAGCTTCGGCGTCGACACCCTGGTCATCCAGGCGGACTTCTTCGGAGCCGACGTCTACTCGTCCATCCGCGACCGGCTGCGGGGCATCGACGTCGCGGTCCTGGTCAACAACGTCGGCGTCATGTACGACACCCCCGAGCGACTGCTGGACGTGCCCGAGAGAAAACTGTGGGAGCTGATCAACATCAACGTGGCGTCGGTGGTGATGATGACCCGCATCGTTCTGCCCCAGATGCTGGACAGGAAAGGCGGTTACATCGTCAACGTCTCTTCCATAGCCTCTTTCTACCCCCTTCCCCTGATGGCCGTCTATTCGGCCTCCAAAGCCTTCGTCGATTGGTTCAGTCGGGCGCTGCACTACGAGTACTCCGGTGACGGGATCGTGGTGCAGAGTCTAATCCCGTCGTACGTCTCCACCAAACTGGTCCAGTTCAGTGCCTACCTGCGCGAGCCCAGCTTTCTGGCCCCGGACGCGGCCACCTTCTGTCGCAGCGCCGTGGCCACTCTGGGAGTGGCCGACCGCACCACCGGCTACTGGTCACACGGCCTCCAGTACGCCGTCTACGAGTGCATTCCCCAGTGGCTGTGGTACTTGGGTTCCTGGTGGCTGCAGAAAGCCCTCTACCGGAAGAAGACGGAGTGAATCTTCCTCCTCGCGCTTTCTATTTTGTATACCGCGTCGGAACGACGGGCGTCCGTCGTTTAATAAAAGTCGATTTTTGCAAGGGTCTCGGCGCTTTCTTGGTCGAAGAGGAAAGCGGCGTTTTCTTTAGAGAATTCCTCCGCCGGAAAGTCTCGCTAAGCCAGACGGTGGTATTTTCTCGGCAAGTTTCGCTCGCCAGTTAACCGGCGCTTTGATGCCACTTTACTGAAATAAGTTTTCCGTCAGTTCGGTTAAATGAGAAACGAGAAATAAAATGAGAAATTTTTCATCTAAAAGTCTCTTGCATCATTCGTAAGAAATTTTTCGCCTGTTTACATTCTTTACGCTTTTCTTCCCTTCCCAACGATGGCGATAAAACGACGTTTAGATCGAAAAATTATCGGAACGATATACGGCCGAGATGCCGGAAGTTCGAGGCGAGTAGTGCCACCGGTCGAACACTGAGTTTCACGTTTTAGTATGATTTCCGTTACTCGACGCGAAATTCGGAGTATTTATGCCAGGAAAGTCGGAAATGACGTAAATTAATATACATCCGGTTACTCGGGATTTTTTCATTAACAGAGATCGCGATTAATTTTTTCTAATCGTACTTTTTTTTTTGAGAATTTGCATCCACCGAGATATGATATCGATCCCATTGGTATTTATTGAAAAAAATTAAAAAAAAAAAAAAAAAAGAGAATGCCGAGTGGCGGCGCTAAGAATGCAGTCTGTCGAAAAGCGTGAATGTTATTTCATTTAAGTTTAATGATTCTTCCGCTATATTGCACGAACCAGACGATTTAAGTAGGGGAACCTGAGAGTGGGAAAATCGGAGAAAGAGCTAAATTCTCCATATTAACACTGAAGAAGAAGATTCTTCCGCTATCGATTACGAAAGAATATTCCATCGTCTGGACGGTCGACGTTTAGAATGGAAGAAGTGGAGGACTTCCACGGATGTTATTTGTTGCGATCCACCAATCCCAAATACGCGGGAAAGACGTATGTTGGATATACGGTGGACCCCGACCGACGCATCCGTCGACACAACGCTGGGTTGAGGTCTGGAGGAGCTTGGAGAACCGACGGCCGAGGACCCTGGTAATATTCTTTTACCTTATTTTGTTTAAGACTCGGAGAGAGAGAAAGAGCAAGACTGCTGGAGGCAGTTAAATGAGGTACGATTACACGTGTGAATGAGACGTATCTACGGTTCCTTTGACTTTTTTTATCGTATGAGTATTATCTAGAGCTCTGTTAAGGTCCCAACAAGGTAAGATTCTAGTGTTGCCTGAGGGGGGCGGGAACCCCCCCACAGTGTCGACCCCCCCTGTGCGATCAAATAATGTCTAATGAACCATACTGACCTCCTGTGCGAGGAAAAAAACAAATTTTTGGTATATTAGGTAGGTGTCACGTGACCGGAAATGACGTAGGTATAGCCCTCACCACACTCGGCCAACCTCGCGCGGCCCGATTTTGGGGGGGCTATATCTCGTGATGTGTCGCCCGTAGGGGTATGGTTCATTAGACATTATTTGATCGCACAGGGGGGGTCGACACTGTGGGGGGGGGTTCCCGCCCCCCTCAGGCAACACTAGAATCTTACCCCCAACAATATCATTCACATTTGCAATCTTACTGGAGTGGGACATGGTCTGAAATGAGAGACAGATGATGTACTGCGAGAGATGTAGTTTATAAATTTAAAAAAATACAAAATTATCTTGGGAAACTGTAGAAGGACATTTCCACTTTTATAAAAACATAGTAGTATTACTTATATTTCCTTGTTTTGAGCAGTGAAAGTCTTTGCTTCTTTTTGAATTTTACTTCGTTGATTTTTAGAATATAGGCCTAAATGCATTCGTGTTCTAAAAACCAAGAATTTTAGTATGGAAATACTGTTGCCAAAATGTTGTTTGAAGATGTATCTAAAGTAGTTTGTGGGACAAATTAAGGTATTTGCAGAACTGAGGGACGAGGCAGTGGAACGTGGAATTGTCCTTCTGGGAACGGGACGGTGAGCGGCTATGACGAGACATTCTTTTTCTGAATGACGGAAACCCATTTTTCTTTTTTTTCGTGTCTTTTCCCATTAAAATTAATATCGTTGTATGTAGACTTTTGAGAAATTTCAATACCCTTGTTATTCGGTTGGGTCAAATTTTAGATACGTATACTGTCGTGGCAAAACTTCATACTAGTTGTTCGAGAACTACCATGAATCGATAACTAGTAATGTTTGGCACGAGACGGTCTGCCGGCGGCTCTTCTCTGGGCAGAGTCGGTCTTGTGTACGAATGGTCGGGACGGGTGCCGCGACGGCATACGTATCTAAAACTTAACCTTCGGTTGTTTTAAAATGTGACAAGATGATAAACCCATTTTGGAAAGGGGACAAACTTAGTTTCTATTATAGAGTCAAATTTCTTTGGCATTTTTAAGTAAAAAAAAAATTTGGGAATAGAATGAGGCTGTTTAGCAACAGGAAACAAACTTGTCTCGTTTGAAAGCAAAATATTTTTTAACTTGTGTTACTGTATAAGTAACAATTGGAGAAGTCGGAACAAGGAATTGTAGAAAAAGACTTGATAACACCATTAATACAATAGGCATGTAATCTGCCAATTTGTGGAACTTGTGTTTGTGTTAGGTTGGAAATAGTGCTTTTAAAGGGTGTCTGGTCCTTATATTGGACCCATCCCCCACTGTCGGCTTGGCCGAACCCTTGATAAGCATGATTAACTCGTCGCCACCGGATAAATTGACACAATTTCTGTTCTGTACTCGTTTAGACGTCTGATAAGTCGACTCCCCTCCCGAAAAAAATGAGTTCACGCCACACAGCTTAACATTACAGCAGAATCCAATTTTGCATTTTCTCACCTTTCATTCATGCAGCAATTATTTGCAGCAAGTATTTCACATTTCTGTTAGAAATAAGTATCTGAACGCTAACAACACTTATGCCGAAAGAAAAATACGAACTTGTATCTGAATTTGAATGTAATAAAACTTTGCAAGCCGAATTTGCAAAACAAGGAAACCTTCCAAGAACAACAATGGTGGGAATCCTGAAGAAAAAAGAGGAAATTAAGAAACTTTTTCTTGGGTCGTCGTCGTGGCCCTCTTGAAAATGCCAGAAAAAGTCGCCGTACGAAAATGTTGAAAATGCTCTGGTAGTTGACTAAAGCAAATTCATAAGTTGAATCTTCCTGTTTCAGGGCCAATACTGAAAAAGCGATGGAAATTGCTGAGGTACTTGCAGTAGAAACCAACTTTAGTGCCAGTGATGGATTGTCAGAGAGATACATTGCATGTACTGTATAAAGCACTACTGTATTTTCCTAATTGTAGTTTTGTGGATTTTTAAACTTTTAGTTGTCATATAGGATAACTCAACACATTTCCACTTCCCCTTGGGGTGTCAACTTATGTGGATTCAACTGTATATACATACGAGGTGATTCACTGGTGGTGTTAAGTAACCTGGAAAATGGTTGAAGATAGGAAGATAGTAGAGAGGTTGAGGCGCACGTTTTAAACGTGTAAACGTGTACGTGTGACGTTCGGCGCCGCTTTCCCGTAAGCCTAAAAGTTTGACGATGGTGTTTGGAATGTCGAGTGTGATTCCACCGACTATCCAAACACCATTGTCAAACTTTTAGGCTTACGGGAAAGCGGCGCCGAACGTCACACGTACACGTTTACACGTTTAAAACGTGCGCCTCAACCTCTCTAATGATCAAGTTTGTAGAGCAGATAGGGACAATTATGGTGACCATAGATGACCTTAAAAATAAGTTGTTTTTGAGATACAATAAAAAAGGGTTTTTCAAATTATAAGGGATGCATTTGAGCCATTATATGGATTGTATGCATCAAAATAAACACCTTTTGTAGTAGATCCCATTTTCTTAAATTAAGAGTTTTCAAGATATCAGCCAGTTTCTTCTAAAAATCTGATTTCTCTTTTTCCTGAAAATTTCTATGTCAGGAACTAAGTTTATCAGCTTTTGGTAAAAACTACTGAATGTCACCAGCAAATTGCCCTGTATCAGTGGCATATGGTGTCAATTGATGATAAGGAAGCTGTGCTGCCACTTGATAATTAGGTAGATAGATTTAATAGGGGGTAAAGACCAGGCACTACTCAAAGGTATTACCTGGTTTGGAAGGTGGGAGGGTGGAAAATGAGAAAGAAGGTTTGGTAGGGGGAAAGAAAGGAAGGGGGAAAAGAGGAGAGGAAAAAGGAGAAATGGGAAGTCATGACATCCTGCATCAAATTTATTTAAAATATAAACAGATACATTAAAGACAAATACAAAGTCCACAAACATGCAAGTGAACACTTAGACATTTAATGAATTGTGGGTACCATTGAAACAGTTGACAGTTAAAATACAGTAATGAATGTAGGCAGTGCCGGCCCAAGGCAAGTTTTAAGATGGAGCGAGATCCTATTGTGGCGCCCCCTTGGTTGCCCCTAATTTATACCCTTTAATTTTCTTTACCACTGAGACGCCCCCTAGGACTTAGCACCTGGAGCGGCTGCTCCGTTCGCCCTATGGTAGGGCCGGCTCTGAATGTAGGTACAATATGGGTACAGTAGAGCCTCGATTATCCGACCTAATTGGGGACTGGGGTTGGTCGGAAAATTGAAAGGGCGGATAACCGAAAAGTATGAAAAAATCTATTATTAGTGTAGTATATTATTATATCCCATGTAATTAGTATATTAGTATATCGCTATTAACCTACTTTGCGTTGAATTTTCATCGATGTTAAGCCTAACAAAAAATTTTTTAATAATAATCGTCGCTATTGTATCGTTAAAAATTAGAAAATTAAGCCTCGTTTAAATACTGGCTCCCTTTCATGGTCGATCCAGCGTTGCCAGCTAAAACACGTAAAAATAATATTAAAGTAGCCAAGACATAGCCAAATATTGTAGCGCCACATCACTAGCGGGCGTTTGAAATTTGCTGACTAGGATGGTCGGTTAACCGAGGGGTTGGTTGATTGGGGGTCGGATAATCGAGGCTCTACTGTACATGGAAAAACTGTTTATAAAGT